CCGGACCATTCCTAGGCCGTAGAGGGCGGCGTAGGCGGTGGTGGGGAGGCCGGGACACGGACCTGCCAGTGCGACTGAGAGAGGGACCGGCAGGCGTCCGCTCCCTCGGCGCTGTCGGGATCAGTCAGAGCGGCCTGGCCGCGGCGCGGGTGCGTGGGTCCGGGCTGGGCCTCCCGTCGCCCCGAGACCAGGGGGTCCGCGGGCCGCCTGACTCTACAAAAACTCCAGGCCGGGTCTTGGGAGCGGCCGCCTGAGCGCCCGGAGCCCTGGTCCCGGAGAGCGCTCCGGGCGCCCTTGTTGCCACAAAGCGGGTTAAAGTCTATTTTCCACTCGACTGCTCCGAAAAGCCCCCGCGCGCCGAAGCCGTTCCGGCCCCCTTGGGCGAGGTGGGGAGGGGACGGCGAGAGGATGGGGGTGAGACTACCGCACCCTGCAGACGTTCGCGTCCGGGGCAGACCCGGGCAGAGCACCTCAGAGACGCCCCAGAAATGCCTGCGGAAGGAATCCTTACCGAATCCGTAGCGAGCGCCTGTGTCTCTTTTGCTGGCCTCTCCGGTTCTTTCTGTGCTGGTCTCTCCCTCTCTCTGATTTCTGTCTCAGGCTCTCTGTCACTCCCCAACCCCCCGCCCCCCCCCCCCATTTTCCTCCATTTCTTACCCCTCTCCCTTTGCGCCATCCTCAGCCGTAGATTAGAGGAAGCTCCGCCGAGTGGGGACAAGAACCTAAGCAGGTCGTATCGCTAGGGTGGCGAGAGTGAGGAGCTGGGCAAAGGCACAGAACGAGATTTTCGTACTAATATGAAGGAGACAGAAGGGGATTTTGTCGGAGCAAGGTCCCCGCAGGAACGCAGTTTTAGTTGGATAAGCATTGCCTGGGCCTGTGCTCTGTGGCGACAGACCAAGTACTTGGGCCTGTGACAGAGAAGTCAGGAGCTGGAGCAAGTTGAACTCGGCCCCAGAGCTTTCTGCCCCTAGCGGAGATGGACCCCACCTGTCCAGCGGCAGGCCTCTACCTCCTACCCCACCATGAGGCTGGACCTTAACCCGGAACTCGCTAAACTGGGCTGGCAGGCAGAGGAGCTTGGAATTTACTGGCCATTCCTAGACTTACACCTACACACGGGCAACATGTGCGTTCATTCGTGTGGCTCTAGGTCTACATCTTTGTGTGTAAATCCATAGACCTTTATGATAATGACTCCTTGTGGTGGTGCTTTCCAAATGCTTTGACATCCAGCTGTCTGTCATCAACCCCATTTACAGATGAAAAAACAGACTGCACAGGATAAGTGCCTTGAGTCTGGTTATGGTCTGCGTTGAGGTGGGACAGCTCATTGGTCCTGGCCTGGCTGAAGTTCCACCCCCTTCCACCTCCATACCGGCGCTGTAGCCCACCCTCCCAAGATCACACCTGTTCACAGGGTTAGGGATGGGGTGGGGGGGGTGCGCTGGGTGACAGGAATTCTACCTTTATTTTTCCTCTCCTTACCCTCTCCCCACACCCCTTTCTCTCACTTTCCTTTCCTGTAATTCCATAATTTCCCTCCTTCCCTTTTCTCCCTCTGTAGACATTTATCCCTTACCCGGTTTCCTCTATTTCCTTTCCTCTTAGGGCCTCTTTCCCTGTTGTAGCTGACCCCGCAGTAGGTTAAGAGAAGAATTTGTCACCCTCAGGATGTCTCTAAGCCTATCACTGTGTTCTGGATCCAGCATCAGCGCTCCCACCACGCCCCAATCTATTCTTGTGGCGCATCCCAACTCAGTCTCTGCTAAGTGCTCACACCTCTCCCAATATGACCCCTCCCCAAAACAGCTGACCGTGTGCATGCCTCCTCTCCTCACCTGTGGACAGCCGGCCACCTTAACCAAATTCTGCGCCCCTCTCCCCTCCACCTCTGTCCCCCAGCCTTTCCTCTCCACCTTACTGTCCTCCCTCTCAGACTGCTGGGTTCTGCCAGAGCCCCTAGGTTGATCATGCCTCCCTCATGCTGGAGCACCCTACAGCCCCACACATCTGCGGGCTGCTTACCTTTTATTCTGCAGCTGCCTGAAATCCAGCCCCTTCCCTGGGTTCCCATCTCCCCAAATCCAGCGCTTTGCTTTCTTCAGAGGAACCTGATGCCTACTCGGAGGATGAGACCCTGACTGTCTGTCCTGGCTCTGGCCCCACATCAACTTTTCTCCTCCCTCCTTCCATCTCTGAAATAACCTGGGCTCAAATCCTGACTCAGTTTACTAATGGTGAGACCTGGGGCCAGCAATCTTGGCTCAGCTTGTACATCTGTGAAATGGCGAGCATTATGTGGGACCTCTGTGAGGACTCAATAAGAGAAGTTTGTGATGCCCAGGACCAATGCCTGACTCCAGAAAGGCGCTGGGTAAACGTGACCCTCTCTGCCTTTGCCCATGCAGGAAACTGGGGAATCCTCAAATCCCCATTCTCCCTCATCCTCCTCATCCAACTTATCACCAGGTCTTGTAGTCAAGAACTTCTCAAGTCTGTAACTTCTCCTTTGCTTCTTTGCTAGCTAACTTCATTCTTCACAACTCAGTTCAACTCCTCCCAGGAAACCATCCCCCTTGCCCCAGCCTCTTACCGTTCTGTCATAGCATTCACCCGCAGGATGGAGTTGTCTGTGTCTGCATCTGCTTCCCTCACTGGGCTACAATCCCCACCCCCACCCCCACCCCCAGCTGGGAAGCCCTGGTGTACTTATGTCATGGCCCCCAGCACAGGCTAGGCAATGTTTATCCCTGCCTAACCCACCCCCACCCCACTCTTGTGGAGGGATTAGTCCAAAACATCCCCAGCCATTTCCCTTTTACCTTCCCTCTTTTCCTCTTTCCTCTTCAGCCTCCTTTATCTTCATGTCTCCCTGTCCTCATGTTTCCCTTACTCTGGTAACTTTTCTTCTTTACCACCACACTTAACTTTTAGCCTCTCTCCAGCTCCCTCACTTCCCCTTGATTCGGTAAGTCTTTGCAGCCTGCCTTCCATCC